GCACACGCTTCCACCGGCCTTTCTCCCTCACACTCTCGCCAATTGGCCTGACTGACGTTGAGCCCGGACAGCAGACGGCAGACTGCCAGCTCAGACACGCAGCTAGCCAGCCTCATCGCCTCTGCCTTGGCTCGTCTGGACTTCTACGGCCTGTTCCGTCCACCGGCACCTCTATCCAGCCCGGTAGGCTGATCGCTAGAGACCCCAGCTGCTGGATTCTACCCTCGTGATCCAAGTTTACTCATTCGGGGGGGCCAAGAGTTCACACGGAGCAAGTGGTTGACGCCCGCCGGCTCTTTTCTCATAGTGTACGTGACCCAAGCATCTTCCGTTTGAAAATCCGTCATCTTCCCACCATCAAGAGCCCCTGCCAAATGCTGCAATCAAACCTTGTTCACTGCACCGTTGCTTCCTCTGCCTTCTCGATTTGCTACAATCCCCGGCTTCCTTACTCCTCCCGGCCTCAACCTGCATCCCATACTATCCCGGAAGCAGAGCACCGACCTCCGCTTGCTGCCAACTGCGGGACAAGGGCCTCAAGGTACGAGCCGCGCCGGAGCTGCTGTCTGATGGATTCCGTCGGGACAAGTCAGCGAGCTGCCGACGTCCATCAGTCAATCGTTCCCCCCACGCGGACAAGTGTCTGGCGAACTGTGCACAGTACTGGCCAACCCCTGCTCTTTGTTGCCCTCGGACACCTCCGGGCGTTCCCGTCGATATGGCTGGCCGTTGAGAGAGCAAATGTTGCTTGTCTTGACTAGTCCTATTGCACACGCAGCTAAATGTCAGAGCAGGTGTCGTTCTTACAGGCGCCGCCGCCCACATCTCATCACCGACCTGCCCGCCGTTCACAGAGAAGGCTTACAGGCCGTGAGATCGTAGCCCGTTCTGCGCTGGCCAGTATATCCTTCCTTGTCCTGCCCGGTCTTGCCCTTTTCTGCTTCCTCAACTCCTCTGCCCCCGCGACTCCCGTTCGCCCGGGGGTTCTGTGTCGCAACATGTAAGTCAGATGGCCGCTGCGTCGTGACGCAACCCCTACCCGCCCGGAAATAATCTCCCCCAGAAAGCTCACATAGATATGTGCCGCAGGAAATTTGGCAAGCAGATCCAGAAGCGCCAGCTTGAGGTTCCCGAATATGCTGCCAGTTTTGTCAACTACAAGGCGCTGAAGAAGGTAATTGTGCCTTTCTTATTCATCCTGGGACATCAAGAGCCTGTCCACTCTCATTCTATATTGCCCTCCCTGATTCCTTCTTGACGTCTTCCTTGTGTTGCTCGAGAACACAGTACGACCGTGGGAGGCTGATTGGGAGGGGAGAGTGTCAGCCCGGGCATCCTTGTACTTGCATGCCCGCACCCTCTGGCTCTCTCCCCGATCATTGGCAAAATTGACACGCTTGTACACCATCAACTTGCTATATCTTTGTACCACCTTAGGCTAATACCTGTTTTTATTTGCCATCCAGCTCATCAAGAAGCTTTCAGCTACTCCAACCCTTGCCGCACAAAACGATGGCCACCGCCTACCCACTGTTGCGGATTCGCAGGCTGCTCTGCAAGCGAACAAGGCAACCTTCTTCTTCCAGTTGGTAAGTCAAACCTCCAATGCCGCCACCATGATGAACATCCCGCCGGGATTGCTGACCCTCGAGCAGGAAAGAGAGTTGGACAAGGTGAATGCCTTTTATCTGCAAAAGGAAGCCGAGGTATGTCACCAACCGCGACCCCGTTGCGCGAAGCGAAGAGTGCCATTGCCAACCTAGACATAGCTCAAAATCCGTCTCAAGACGCTGCTCGACAAGAAAAAGGTCATCCAGTCACGCCAGGGCATTTCGAGGCGCTCAGCCAAATTCACCACTCTCGAAGAGGGGTTCCAGCAGTTCGCTACCGATCTGAACAAGCTCCAGCAGTTTGTCGAGATCAATGGTACCGCCTTTTCGAAGATTCTTAAGAAGTGGGACAAGACATCCAAGTCCAAGACAAAGGAGCTGTATCTCTCGCGAGCCGTCGAGGTCCAGCCGTTCTTCAATGCGACGGTCATTAGCGAGCTGTCGGATCAGGCCACCACCAGCCTCCAGGAACTCGGTGCCTGGTCAGATGGCATCCAGGTCAATTTCGACTCGTCGTCCACTGGGCATGTAGTCACAAGCCAACATTTCGTGGGAACCGATGAAGGGGATGCCGATACGCTCCTGTTGGATACTGTCATCGCCGGGAACCTTGAGTCGATCAAGGATCTTCTCGCCAAGATGCAATCGGCCGCCCAGGCTGGCGATGGCGATAGTTCCCTGATGGAGCGGTTGACACGGACCTTCTTGGCGGCGATCAACGAAGCCCCCAAGAGTGCCTTGCAGGCCCTTTTGGACACGGGAATGGTCGATCTGCATTCCTACGATGACATCAACGAGCGGAACTGCCTGCATCAGGCCGCCATCTATGGCCGACAGCACGTCTTGGAATGGGCTCTTGAGGCCAAGGTGGCCGTGGATCGCACCGACGTCTACGGCCGGGTGCCACTGCACTATGCTAGTCTGCACGGTCGCCTGGACATGCTGGAAACGTTGTTGAATGGTAAGTTGGGAGTCCAGACCCAATTCATCTAGCAGGCTATGGATCTAATCTCTGTGTCTTTCCACCATCTATTAGCCAACCCGAGCACCATTGACCTGATTGATCACGACAACTTTACACCACTGATACACGCCATCATACATGGACATGTTGAGTGTGTCGAGCGACTTCTTGCCAGGTCAGCCCGTATCGACCCGGTGTCAGATGCGGACCATGTGCCTTTGAACCTCGCCTGTGAGCATGGCTCAGTCGCCATCGTCGAGATACTATTGAAGCACGGCGCCAAGATCCTGCCCGATGCTGAAGGGCTGTATCCCCAGCACCTGGTAGCGCGATGTGGACGGACATCGGATTTGCTGCTGCTCCTGAAGCAGTACGGAGCCGACCTTGATCAAATCGACAAGCTGTACGGATGGACGCCCTTGCTGCATGCCGCCAGCGAAGGCAACGTCGAATGTCTCCAAGCGCTGCTCAAGCTTGGCGTCGACGCGACCATCCGGGATGAAAAGGACCTCCCTGCCATGTACTATGCCGCCTGGGAAGGCCATCTGGAATGCATGCAGCTGCTCACCCCGTACAACAAGCGCCCGAGAGCAAGTCCCCTGGGAGGCCAGCCCACAATTGACATCATTGGCAGCAGCAGTAATGCCCCCCTACCCATGTCCTTGGACCCGGATGCGATTCCGATCTTGGAGCTGCCCCCACCCATCATTCCTCTTCGCCGATATGGCCACAACTTCCTTGACACCAAGACGGTGGTGCAGATTAGCTTCCAGGACTCGGGCGAACAGCCGCTGGTCTTTTTCCAGGATGGAAAGTATCCGGCTGCTCGGTTGACCATTTCCTCCAAGGTCTCTGATCTCATCCCCAAGAACATCATCCTGCCTTTCCAAGAGGACACCCGCATGGTTTCCTTCCAAGTCGACAATCTGGAGACGTTCTCACTCGACTTTGACGTGTTCCCAGCGTACGGCGCCAAGACTATTGCAAAGACGGTGGTGCTGCCATCGGTGTTCCTGAACCAGTCTGGCGGCTCGAGGTCTTGCCTGCCACTGTTTGACCCGCGGTTACGAGCCATTGGCCAAATCAGCTTCAACACGCAGGTCATCAAGCCGTTCAGGGGACAACCGCTCGAGATTACAGACTTTGAGACGTACTGGAAGGCAACGAGCCAGTTCGACCAGCCCACAAATGCCATCATCACGGGATCGAGTCTCTCTGGCGACTATGTCCGAGTGTTTGTCCAGTACACGAGCGATGGAGTGCCCATCATCTGGCCACAGTGGACAATTTCGTGTGGCGGGCTCGACATTCCCGTCTGCAGGCTGTCGTTTGCACAATTCGACGCTATCACGTCTCGGGGCACCGGCCGCGCCCAGCTTGCAGGACTGGCATCGAAGACGGCGGACGACATTGCCGAAATCTACCAGATCCTGGCGACGGCTGGCATCACGCTGAAGGAGGCGCTGGCCATTCTCCCTCCAGGCATCCATGTTAACCTGCAGATTGTATATCCGAACGCAGAAGAGGAAAAGACGCTGGCTTTGGGGCCGGCTCTCGACGTCAACGACTATGTCGATTCGATCCTGACGATTGTCTTCGACCACGCCCGAGCCCAGAGGGCACAGTCGCACTCGTCACATGTTGTGCGCTCCATGGTGTTTAGCAGCTACAATGCGCGACTGTGCACCGCCCTCAACTGGAAGCAGCCCAACTTTCCCGTGTTTTTGTGCAATGACTTGGGCCGAGATGAGAACAACACGGCGCAGGTCAATGGACGGCGGACGACGTCGATCAAGGAGGCGGTCCGGATCGCGCAGACGAACAACTTTATGGGTTTGATATGCTATGCAAAGTTGCTGGTAAGTATCTTCACGATCCTGATTCACTTCTCTCCCTGACTTGTTCTTATCTAACGCCCCTGGATCAGGAAATGGTACCGGCATTGGTAGATGCCGTCAAGTCGCATGGACTTGCTCTCGTGATGGACAAGTCGTCTGATACCCCTGAAGCAAGCCCTCTCGTGGATCCTTTCCCTCGGCCGCCCAATGGCGTCGACGGGATTTTGAGAAGCCATGGTATTTTACGCTTCAATGATTCTATAGACATCTAGACTGATAGGGGATAACTCTTTTTCCTATTTTCTTTTCATCGGAATGGCGGCGTGGACATTTGGGTTGTGGCTAAACGAACCGTCTAAACAGATGACTGGACGTTTGGCAATGGCAGGCAACAATGTGCGGAATATTGCAGAAGAGAGAAAGTCAAAGCATTTTTACTGTCTTTTCCTCCAGTATAGCAGAAAGGTGATGGTCTTGAGCCATTTCTGTTTCTTGCTTTTGTAATCCCTTATTGCATACATAGATGTACCTATATACATATATGAAAAAAAAAAAAAAAAAAGCAACCAAACAGAGAGAGTCTTGCTCTCAGGCGCCTTTGTAACCGTACTTGAGGCCTGACAGCTCCCTCTCAGGGTCTACACCGGCCATGACGATCTTTGCCGTGATGGCGACGGAGTAGACGAGGCCCGGGACGTTGCCCATGCTGACCCAGCCGAAGCCGCCGCCCCGGTCGTTGCCTCTTACAAGCCCCATGAGGATCAAGAGCACGACCAGGCCGAGATTCAGATACGGCAGCGTTCTTTCCAACGGCGACCGCATCTCAACCTGCGCCGCCGCCCTCCTTCCCAAAACGCCTCCTAGAGACTGAACGTTATGCTGTTGTCGCCGTCGTAGCGAAGAGCTGGCGCTGGTAGACGACGACGACGACGACGAAGAGTTATTCCGTCTGCTGGCCCAGTCATCGATGGCGGCGATGCCCGTCTCCGTCGGCGGAAGGCGATGCAGCAAAAACGCAGTCGCAAGCAGCGACGTCAAGCAGAAGACGGCAAACGAAGCGGTCTTGGGGTCGAGGAGCGGGCGGACGTAGGCGACTGTGGAGAGGAGGGGCAGGAGGAGGAGGACGCGGGCTGTGGATTCGTTTTGGGAAGCGTTTTGGGTTGTGAGGGTTTGGATGAGGTTGTCTTGTTCTGTTGCGCCGAGTTGGTAAGTCATTCTGGGGATAACAAGGATTAGGATTCAAATTCAGAATTTACCTTGTTCGTCCATGGCTTCGGGGGTGTCGTCGGAGTCGGAGTCGTTTGGGTAGTGGAATGTTCGTCGGAGACGGGTTGTTTGGTCGGCGAGGGAGGGCGGCATTTTGGGGTTGCTGTGGTGGACAAGAATGTTTAGAAGGATGCAAGAAATGGCAAGTAACGTTGGCTTTGGTTGGCAGAACAAGAGTTGTGACCACTGAGAAGCTGACGATATTGCAAGCCAGGTTGAAGTAAAGAACAAGCATCACCTTGATGGGCAATCCAGCTCCAGCACCCGCTCAGCCTTATGACGCCACAGAACAAAAGCACATGGCAACTGTACGTACCCTTGCACACGCACACACGCATTTTCCCCACCAAGTGCCGTAACCCCCACTAAAATATCTCTCAGCCTCATGCTAAACATGGTCTGACACCTTGGGATTGCAGGAACCACTTTAAGCCTGACCTAGAAACAAAAGATCAGATGAATATATCCAAACAACAGCCATGATATCAGGAATTGCGAGACGGAGACTCTTGGCCGCGGCCTCCCGGCAGGCCGGTTGCAGAAGCAGCAGCCAGACTACGAATGCGAATGCGAGCGTCAGAGCAATGCAGAGGCGATGGATGACGCCGGCGCCGAAACCAGGCGATGGGCCGTTGATGTCGAGACGAGCCGATCGCGAGCTTCCCGGTAAGCCTTCTCTTTGCCCCCCCTCTCCAAATGATATTTCCCAATTGAAGCTGACAAGCGGGAAAAACACAGACGTAGGCCAAGTCTCCCACGGCTGGCGCCGCACCCTCCCCATCTTCCTCGTCGTCGTCGCCGCCTGCTCCGTCACAATCTTCAACTACCAAAAGTCGTCGTCCCCCATCATCTCCTCCACGCTCTACGCGCTGCGCACGAACCCCGTCGCCAACGAGCTGCTCGGCGGCGAGATCTACTTCAAGCACCAGATCCCCTGGATCCGCGGCGAGATGAACCAGGTCAAGGGCCGCATCGACGTGAGCTTCGCCGTGCGCGGGAACAAGTCCTCGGGCGTGATGCGCTTCGCGAGCCACCGGCCGTCGCCCAAGGCCTTCTTCGAGACGACGGTCTGGAGCCTGACGATGGAGGACGGGACGGTGGTGGACCTGCTGGACGGGGGGGATCCGTTTAGGGGCTTGCTTGGGGGGGATGACGGCGGTGCGGAGGAGGATGATGTGCTGGTGTTGGGGGATATGGCTGGGGATGGCCAGACGAAGGGATTCAGGCAGCAGGGTGCGCTCAACAGGTGATTTGATTTCTCCAGCTGGAAACCAAGTTAGTACTCGCATTGGAGGAGCAGAAGGTGAGGAGGAGAGAAAAAAAGGGGAGACGGCATGGGCCTTTTTGTACAAGTAGAGTTTGGGTTGGTTCCATTTGTTTCATGAGTCTTGGGCCGAGTTTCCTTGCCATGAATGTGTATAGTGTACTGATATATAAATACATAAAAGAGTCCGCTTTTTTTCTTCTGAACCCTTTTTGTTTCCCCTTTTGTCTCCCCGCGTTACTCATTACAATTCAACATTCGTCACACCTTACAATGTATTTTACACCTCTGCCATGTGCGCCCTCCGCTGGGCCTGCATGTCCAGATGCCTCAACCTCGCCTGCTCCAGCCTGTCCTGCAAATCAGGCTGCCTCTGCTCCAGCTCGCCGCGCGCCTTCTCCCTGTGCTGCAGCGCGGGAGCCTTCCTCTTCTTGGCGTCCTGCAGCCGCACGATGCGGCCCTTGGGCCCGGGGATCGGCCCACTGACGAGCACGACGCCCAGCTCGTTGTCCACCTTGAGCACCTTGAGGTTCTGCACCGTCCGGAACTCGTTGCCCATGCGCCCGGGCATCTTCTTGCCGGGCAGGACGCGGCTTCCGCTGCCCTGCGAGGGACCCGTCGAACCGATCGTCCGGTGGTTCTTTGAGTTTCCGTGCGACGCCTCCTGGCCCGCGAAGCCGTGGCGCTTCATGCCTCCCGCGAAGCCCATGCCCCTCGAGCGCGCGCGCACGTCGACGTGCTGGCCCAGCTGGAACCAGTCCGGCAGCAGCTGCGCGCCCACGGGCAGCAGCCCCTCCTCGCCGCGCACCTTGAACTCGGCCAGCTCGGCCTTGGGCGCGATGCCCTTGGCCTCGTAGTAGCCCAGCATCGGGCTCGTCACGTTGCGGCCGTGCCGGGCGCCCAGCCCGACCTGCACCGCCCAGTAGCCGTGCTTCTCGCGCGTCTTGTTGGCCACCACCTGCACCTGGTCCAGCTGCAGCACCGTGCAGGCCACCCGCGTCTTGCCCTGGAAGATGCTCGTCATGCCCTTCTTGACGGCCAGCACACCCGTCCGCAGCGGCGTCGTGTTCTCGCGGCGCTTGAGCGCGGCCGCGGGGCCCGTCGTCAGCGCCGGCAGGCCCGCGTTGGGCTGGTTGAAGCGCTTGTGCTTGGACCGCGGCGGCGCCGTCGACCAGCCGTACTTGATGCCTCGCTGGGGGATGTGTGGGAGGAGGAGAGCTGGGCGGTTGACGGCGGCGAGGCGTGGCAGCGCCAGTCGGATGGGTATCCTGGGAGGCATTGCGGGGGCCGGGTGTGTGCGTGTGTGTGCGTTTGTGTGTGAATTGGATTTTATGTATTTGACGTCGGCATCGGGTATCAGGCAGTTCTGGGTGTTGCGAGGGTGCCCTCGGGGCTGGATTGCATCGTTCGAGGTTGCGCCTGAATTGGGTTGGGATGATTGGGAAATTTTGGTAGTTTAGCTCTGGTTATGCGGCTCGGGTATTCTGCGGGCGGGGTGTTGAAGTGTTCAGCCTCGCGGGGTACGTACCTTTTGCTTGATGTCTCATGAAGAAGGGCATCTTGCATGTTGTATTCTATGGTGATGGTATCAATTGGCAGGTTCATTCACACGTAGTACTTGTCTAATCTGACATCCTTCTCCATCTCATCAATGTCTGCCATCATAAAAAAGCACCATCACATCCCCGGCCCTCTCCCCCCAATCCCGCTCCCCATCTCGTTCACACTCGTCCCCTTGACCCTGTGATCCCCCGGCTGCGCCGCCGCCTCGTAGATGATGTTGGTCGGCGCCTTGCCCAGCCTCGTCCACTCCCCCTTGAAGCCCAGATAGCTGATCCTCGACACGTCCTCGTCGCCGTCGCCGAAGTTGTCCACGAAGAAGAGCACCAGGCGCTGCACGCTGCCAAAGAGGGCGCGCTTGACGGGGATCTCCTGCACCTCGGACGTCTGCGAGAGCTCAATGACCTGCAGGGGTTCCTCCTCCTCGGCGGCGGAAAAGTCCATGTTGTCGCGGTTGACGAAGAGGTGCAGCGTCTTGGGCGCCGAGGGGGAGGGGGATGTGCGGATGAGGATGGAGTGCAGCTTGACTTGGGCCGTGAATCTGTTAGACCCGAGTTAGCATTATGTAAAAGCAAACAGTAAATTCTACGTTTGGACAGAAGGATATGAAATGATATGATCATAACGAGTGGAAAGTATGAAGAGAAAAAACTTACGGCACCGTCATGAGAAGCTGCTCGTCGGCATCGCTCGCCAGCTCCGGCTCCGGACTCAGCCTCTCCGCCCACGTCTTGCGCACGACGTCCTTGCCCGCGTCCCGGCGCGCCTCGTTGAGCGTCGTGATCTCGTCAAAGTTGATCTGCTCGTACAGCGACGACTGCAGCGCCGGCGTGATGTCGTCTGAGTGGTCGTGCAGCTCGCCGTCGTGGTGGCTGTGGCCGTGGTGGTCGTGCTCGTCGTGGCAGTGGTGAGACATTGTCCACGAAGAAGAGCCTCTCTGTGTGATGTTGGAGGGGTGAGAGTTTCTGAGGATGGATTTGTTGTGAGCTGTGAGAATGGGGCTTTTGTTGGGCTTGATGATGTGGGTGATGGAGTGAGCTGTTGGTTCCGATGATGTAGATGCTCTGTTTCAATTGTGTTGATGCTGCACCGAGAGGCCCCGCAGATAGCCGTCGAATCGGCTCGACTCCCAAGATGACCAAGAGAAGAGCACAACCCTTGTGACAAAATGCAACTGATACAAGATGCCATATAAGTAGATTCATATGATGCAATACCTTTGTGACATCTGTAGCACTCCATCTAATCTCTAGTAGTGGGTATCAAGTTTCAATAAAAAGCACCAAAGTCCAGATCCAACAACCCGCAGCCAAGCCAACCTCCCCCCCCTTTTCCAGAAACATTACCGCAAACCTATCTGAACCCAAGCTTTCTCTTCTTCTTCTTCACCTTCTTCCTATCGCCAAACACCCCAGGCGCAGGCTGGCTCATCGTCGCCATAACGGGCACCTGCGTCTGCGTCGCCTCCGGACCTCCCTGGCTGGACATGATCTGCATGGGAGCAGGCCGCGTCGGCGCCATGGAACTGATGGGATTGATGTCCGGAAGCCCCTGCCTCATGAAGGCGGGCCGCCTGAACTTTTCGGACCGGGCCTTTCGCTTGGCCTCGATCCTCTGTAGCCTTTCTTTGGCATCTCTGAAGAGCTCTTCGTTTGCTCTGGCCACGCTCGACACGTACTCGTTTAGGTCGATGCCCCGTTCCTTGGGCCAGTAGGCGAGCACATTCGATCTCCTTGAGGCGTCTGTCTTATCGGTATCAATAGACTTGGCCAGCAGTCGGAGTCGCTGAACCGCCTCGTCGGGGCCCGCAAAGGCTGTCGATGCAGCGGGCGATTGTGCTGGTGAAGATGCCCAGTCCCGAGAACTCGACCTCGACGAGGTGGCGACTTGGGAGCTGCCGATTTGAGAGCTGCCAAAATGAGGCCCAGACCGCGATCTCTGACTTTCTTCCTCTGGCAACTCTGAGCTGGCAGGCCCAAGTAATGGTATATCTTGGTACATGATGCCGTAGCTTGACAGAAAGACGTCCCGAGCCAGTTCTGTGACCCAGATTCGTCGGATTCGATGCATATCCTCACTGAAGATGCCCTTTGCCGGATCCACCCAGAGCTCGGCAAAGTACCGCTGAAGATACTGCAGGCTGACCAGGGACGCAAGCATCTCGTCGCGGTTGTATTGATAAAGTGGAGTGACGACGGTCTTCTCGTTGTTCTCGTCCAGCAACCTCTCCATCTCGTCTCTCATAGGGTCATCAGGGGTTTCGAATGTTGGATCTCGTAGCATCGTCTCAACCACTTCACCCCTACGTGAAATCACAGTCAGTAGCCGTTTGGCTGAATGTATGTTTAGCGAGCGATACTTTACTTACCACGTGAGCAACGGCAGCCTTCCCTGGTCAAATCCGTCGCTGAGACACTGTCTAAGAGCTTCGAACAGTTGAGAAGGGAGGCCGCTTTCCCCTTGACTCCTTGATGCTTCAAGTGATTCTTGGAGGGTCTGATATACCTGGTCCATTCTGATGCGAGTCGGCCGTGCAAGTGCTGAGCTTGGAACAACACCGTCAAGGTCTTCTTCATCCTCGACTTCTTCGCCGTTCAACAACGCCTCGACGTCGGTCATCGTCATATCGTCCGGGAGAATAAACGAGCTAGAAAATTGACTCATAATCGCCCTTCTCCTTTTCTCTCTCTGCTTGTGTTGCTTAGCTTCAGCCCACGCAACAGACGACGTCGGCTCTCGGATATCCAGTTTCGGATCGTCTGTGGTGGCGCATAGACAGCGCTGCAAACTGAAATCGGTGCCCAAGAAAGTGAGCTGATAGAATCGAGCGCCTCTTCGATGGTAGTCGATGCCAGGACTCGACGCATTTTCCTTGACTGAGAAGGCTAGTTGCACGGGGTCAACTCTTAGGTACTCAATCACATTCTTTGCCGGAAATTCCCTGTCCTCGCTTCCCGGAAGGGAGATGATGTCGCGATGCCACTGCGGCATTCGGCTCGCAGGCGAATATGTGAACCAGAATATGCAAAGCTGGCCCGTTCGTGGGTAGTAGATGAAGACCAGTGATGTATCCGGGTCATCGTCTGACGCTCGACAAACAAACATCCTTGAATCGTCCTTTTTAGTACCCAAGTGTGGACACGAAAGCAATACGGACGGCTTCAAAGGTCCTGGCCCTGAATCATCGCGGCTCAACACATCGACCCAGGTGATGTGATACTGCGTGAGGATGAAAACGTGGTTCTGCCTAGTCGGGCTGCGATGAATATCCAAAATCCAATCCAACTTGCCCCTCTGCCGCATAATGCGCCCCAGCCGCGGAAGAAATATGTTTGTATCCAAGTTCAGCACTTCCATCCTCTCGTGATTCCACATCAGCAGGTATCGCGCGGCAGAATCTGTCGCCTTGCGGGCGGACGCGGACGCGGACGGCGAACTTTCCGTTTTCCCATGCCACACGCCTTCTAGGACAAGAAGACCGTGCCTTTCTCTCAGAAACGAAGATTTGGAGGGTAGCTCGCTTAATAGACCATCAGAAATATGTCCGCATTTACTGAGAGAGTATTGAGGAGCGCCCTTTCGCTGGACCTGCCAAGCTCCTGTGAGGTCCCATATGCTCCAATAACCGCTCTCGTCTATGATGGCGAGTTGGTGCGATCGTCCGTGTGCTGTGGTAAGAAGAACGACGTCGGAGTGAGGTCTTCCACCAGTCTGGGCATGTGGAATAGACAGCAACGGGTTTGGGTTGATCAGTGACGGCCGCTCTCGAATCAAAGTGCTACTGGGCTGATTTGACGTGGTGGGGATCTGGCGCAATTCCGGTCTGAGGATCGTCGTCGCTGTTTCTTTCTGAACCAACAGCCACCTGAGTGTGTCGTCCTGCAGTCGATTCCCAGCAGACTTGATCTGCCGAATGGGCAACCCGTCATTCGTCCAGATCGTCTCTGCATCTCTCTGAGTCGGATCGATGGCCTCCATGTTCAGAAAGGCATCCGCATCGTCTCCCCACTGCAGCTGCACATCTTCCATGCGCGCAAGTCGCAAAAGCTCGCCAGCCTCTCCACAAGCGACAGCCGTAATAGGGAGCTTTCTGATGCCTGCTTTGTCACTTGGATCCGGAACATGTCCGATAGCCAGGAGAGGTCTCGGATTCGGGGTCTCGTCTGAGAGGTTGAGTGCGGCCATGTCTTCCTTGAGGACATCCTGATATGCTGTATTGCCAAGTGCAATATCTGGGTGAGATTTGAATAGCCATCGCTGCTGGGTTTGACGCTCGTCCCAGAGCCGGGCGGAAGTCTCGGGAAGCTGGCTTCTCGAAGCCGAGTAAGTTTCTGTTGAGGAGCCGATGATCTTGAATTGAGGACCTGATGGCAGAACTTAGTCTCAGTTTTTGACTCTTTGATCGTTCAACACCCTCCCCCTTTCCCGCTCTTACTTACATCGTGAAGTGAACCGGGAAGTCTCCAATAAGCCAGGACCTTCTCCGGAACGCTCGCTGGGAAGGTATCTCAACACTCCTGGAGTGCCCAGACCCATGAGAGGGTGAGGCCACCAGTCCGCCATTTGAAGCCAAGGAACGTATCAGGTGCGGTGCAGAGATGACGGTTCTTCTTCATCTCGAGTTCACCTGAGAAGAAGCAAGCCTATTGAAGGTCACATGGAGGAGGCGGTGTGACTCAGATCAGCATGATCAAAATTGTCATTTCCAAGACATTCAGAGCGAATTTTTCTTTTTTCTTTTTAGAGAAACAAAAAGAAGAGCTTTTTTTTTTATCGTTGATGAATAGACATGGCTCTCAACATGCCTGACCGGACCATGATAGAAGTTCTTCGGATTCAAGCCACGTGACCTGACTTATGCACTTAGAAGTACTGAGCTTCTGCGCCACACTTTTGCGTGTCGACCCAGCAACCTGCATTTTCGGGTAAACACTTGCGCATCTACGAACTGGCGTTGGAAGACGGTTGATTTGCTTCATCATAACCTGCAACACGCCCTATTGCCGTAACGAGAGTCCTATCAGGCAAAAGAGACGCAATTAATACAAACAACATGTCCACCGCTTTCGATCCGTCAATGTCCATCGGCCACAGCCGCCAAACACTGGCCTCCGCCGGTCCCTCCGCCGCCGACACGCTGCCCAGCATCGACTTCGGCTTCGACGATTTGCGCGAGCGCATGGCCAAGTTCACGGCCAAATTCGACGCCTTTATTGAGCAGGGCCGCAAGCGTGTGCTGGAAGAGCGCAACCAGTTTCGCTCCAACATGGCTGAGCTTCAAGGTATGCGTCTGCGGAGATGGGGGGAGGGGGGTTGATAGGAGGATATGCTATATATAAAATACTGGGAATAAACTGCTAACCGTGCCCACTTGCTTTTATTTTTTCTACAGAGGACGAACGGATGAAGCGCAGAGACATTGAAATCGCCCAAGTCAAACTGTCGACGCACCAGCAAACCATCGAAAAGGAAGAAGCCGAGAAGCGCGAGATGGAAAGCGCAATCGCTTCTCTCGCCGCCCAGCGCGACAGCCACATCGCCGCCCGCGACAGCCTCAAGGCCCAGATCGCCGAGACGCAGGCCGAGATCGAGTCGCGGCTGGCCGCCCAGCGCGCGTACATGAAGCAGAAGGAGGCGCAGACGCGGTACAACGTGCCCGAGCTGGACTTTTGGATCACGAACCTGTGTCTGCGGATCGAGGGCGCGGGCAAGGACGATAGGCTCAAGTTCGTGTATACGCACATTGACGAGAAGAACTGGGAGCGCGAGGCGTGGTTCGAGCTGGTGACGAGCTCGAGGGACTACGACGTGAAGCATTGCCGGCCGAAGCTGGAGCGGGAGAGCGTGGAGAGGGTGCTGGATAGGGTGAATGAGACGAGGGAGCTGGTGGTGCTGCTGAAGGGGATGAGGGAGCTGTTTGTCGAGGCGGTCAAGACTTGAGAACAGCTTCTGTTTATTCGGTGTTGATATGTGTGCTAGATACCCGCATGATGATTTACGCAAATGTATAGGTTGGCCATGAATGTCCCACGTCTGTATTTCTACATGTCTGACAGAGTCACCAGAACGCGACAACCGCCATGAAGTGACCAACACCATTCTTTAATCTCATCAACCATAAATCAGCTTCATTTGAACGAGGAGAAACAGGTTACAATAGAGCCACAGACATCCTCCGCATATCCCGACGTCGCAACGCCCTTGAATCCTCACCAGCCACACAACCTTGCACACCCAATCGTCCCTTTGTACCGCGTCCTAAGCCCCACCAAACCAGGCCAAACAACACTGAGATCTCAATCAACATCCCTCCTTCAAACACACCCCCAAGCTATTACAACATAAACACACATCACAGCACATCAGCCATGCCCAAAGCCGACAAACACGCCGCGGCATCTCAAGCCGTCGACATTCTCGAGGAAATCTCCGCCATGCTGGTAAGAACGTTCACCAGCCACTCTCCCCATCTCATCTTCCCCTCGGTACTGATCCGTTTTGCTGCATGTTGTGTTAGAACTGCCACATGGACCGCCGCATGCTTTCCACTTGCATCTCATTGATCGAGCAGGGCGTCCATCCGGAATCTCTCGTCGTACGTTCACGTCATCTTTTGCTCGTTGCTTGGATCGATTGTTTCTTTTCTTTTTTTTTTTTCTTTTTTTTTCTTTTTAGTATTGACCTGACTCTGTGTGGCTCTTCTAGCAAGTCATCAAGGAGCTGCGTGAGATTGCCGACGAGACGAGGCGGGAGCAGCAGGAGGCTGCCGCAGCCAACAGTCGGTGAAGCCCTCTGATAGCCTGGAGCTTTTCTTAACGCTGCGTTTACCTCTGAATTTTTTTTTCTTTGTCTTTTCGCTCTCTGGAATGTCGATTGCTTTTGTTGTTTGATCTTGAGCTGGGATTTTTTCAGTTATATTCATGGCGCTTGGGAGCGTGGATAAGATACGACTAGGACTACTATATTACCGCGAGTGAAAGACTATAATACATCTGATAATGTTGTTTTGACGGACTTTCCCAATGAGCTTTTGGATGTATGCAATGTGGCGACCTTTGGTTTTTCTCTTCTTCAGTTCAATGTACCCCCTTTCCTTCTCATGCAATGCCGAATTTGAGCGCCATGCTGTCGTACTTGCTTCAGACGAAACTCCATCAAGGTAAAATACATGGTATCCAGAACCAAACGAAAGAAAAGGCAGAATACAAGAGAGAGAAAAGAAAGAAAATGGGAACAGCAGAGCAAGAAAAGACGCCAAACTCCATTGAAAGAACTGAAAGAGATATTCCTGTGATGCAATGTTTCATACGCCGTCATGCCTCGTTAGCAAACCCCCTGAACAGGCTTTCACCTCACGCTCCAAGCCTGGTCCGTTACCTATGCCCGATCAAGTTGAATTCATCTTCGTCTTCCTCGTCGTCATCGTCTGCCTCGGGATGGTCATCGTCGCTGGACTCATCCGAATCATATTCATCATCATCATCCTCATCGTCATCCTCACCACTTCTCCAGAATCCGAGAATGTCGTCGTCCGATTCTTCGTCCACTTCCGGAACGGCGGCCTGTGGGATATCCATCATCATGTGAGAAGGCGACATCGACCGCGCATATCTCTCGAGGAAACGAGATGGTAGCTCTGGCGCATTGGATGAGTGCCGCCTCCTGTTGGGGCCCCGCGAGCCCGCCGTGATCGAGATCCGTCGACTTCCGGGTCCCGCGTCTTCTGGGCCGGCCTCGCGTGTGAGCTGAGGCTGATCGCCGGCGGCAGGCTGCAGGGCCTCAACATTCCGTCCCAATATCTGCAATTCTACAGTATTATATGACCGACATATTGAGCACTTGAGCCCGAGCCAGTGGTACGCCACCGTGCTTCTGGCCGAGCAGTCGTTGCACAGAATCTTGGCTTTCGTATCACGAAAGTCTGGGGGCATCGGCTGGCTGAGGATGGCCAGGTCCAGGTTGCGAAACTGCGGCTCCATGTTCACCAGGCTCTTGTTGCAGATTGGGCATTTGTACGAGGTCCGCAGATGCTGATCGTAGCACTTCTTATGAATGCTGTGGCCGCAGTTCATAAAGACAACTCGCTTCGGCGATGTAAACATGTATTCACCGCAAATAGGGCAGTCACAGTCTGTTGATCGCTCGATGCACTTGTGCGAGCTCTCGATTGACGTGGTGATGCATGTCCGACATGTCTATCAACCTGCTCAGCCACGCCATTCCAGGGGTACAAAGGGGGATTTAGTCGACTCACCTTGCAATGGAAAAAATCTTTGCCAAGCCCCATACCCCGGCGACATATCCCACAGTCATTGCAATGATAGATGGGCTTGTGAGTACGGTTCTCCCAAAGCTTACAGATATTGCAGTAGTACTGCGCCGCTACCTCGCCGCAGTTGTTGCAAACCTCGGATGCCTTTTGGGGTGTAGCACAGAGCATACAGAGCATGTTCTTGGTGTCCTTGCGGATGAGCGTGTGGTCCTCGTGGGCATCATGGCAGAACCGACAGGTATACCACTTCTTGCAGGTGGAACACTGCAGCTTCACGTTCCGCTCGTAGTGCTCACATCCTAGGGGGCCCCGAGTTTCATGAAGCGAGCCCGCCGAGTGCGTTGGCGTTGCCGCGCTTGGTGTTCTCGAATGTCGGACAGGGGCGTAGGTCGGGGCCTTGTCGCTCTCGCTGAGGACAAACACCTCCTTGACCGACGGCTCCCCAATCAACTGGCTTTGCCAGTACTTGAGCGACTCCAGGGCTCCGGCAGGGCTGGCAAGCTCCCATGCCTGACCCGGCTCGATGGATCCGTCATCCGAATCGCTTTTGCCAAGCGGGGAGCCTGTGAATACGGAGGCGCGGTAGCCCTCCAGCAGGGTGTCGTGCATGAGCCTCGCCTTTTCGCCAGATGAGATCTCCCGGGCGTTGATCTCCTGAATGCGCGTGCGCAGCTTCCGCATGCCATCATCCTCGGGAATGGGTCCATCCTTGTTCGACGCAGTCCTGGGCGGTGTTATCGGGAAGCCGAGGTGGTCGAGCAGAGGTCCGGGGTCAGCGGCTGGAGCGGCGGGGGCTTCGTCCGCAACTGCCGGCACCTCTTCGACAATTGTCTCCTGCGTCGAGGAGCTCAGGGGCCGAGGGCGGCGTCGTTCAGGTGTCGCATCGGGCCCCTGCTGCCCAGCATCATCGGCGGCGTCATCAGAGTCTTTGACAGCGTCCGACTGCGCGACAGACGCCTCGTCATCGCCGGCCAGCGTCGCACGGGAGATCTCGGAAAAGCGGCGGGCCTGTCGCAGCACAGGGTTGATGATGAACTCGGAGACAAGGGACGGCATCTGGATTGCTGTTGACGGGCGCAACCGCAGCGCCTGCCGCTGAGGCGCAGCCGAGGACGGGGGATGCGTTTAAGATTAGGATGAGGCGACCCAGCTCATATGAGTAGGAGGTGGCAGATGCGGAAAGGCGGTGATGCCCTGAAACGGAATTATAACAGGACGTCGAAGCAAAGACGGAAGGCTCGAAAGGGGGAGGTTCCCGGGCAAAAGTACAGCCTCAACGACAGCCGGAGATATTCAGCTCATCAGCTTGGATGACAGGAGCAGAAATATGTATGATCTGGCAAGGAAGTCAAGAGGCGACCGACGCAGATCGGCGAGTTTGACAACTGACCAGCGTCTCTTCGGCAAGGATGACATAAGTCAGGGATTAGTCGTGCTGTCTTGCTGCAAAAGCGCGCCACTGCGCTGACTGGCCATAAGGTTGAATTGTCTTGTCTGTCTTTTCTTGGACGCTTGCATGTGATTGCTCCAACAATTTCTGATCCATCTGGATCGTCTCATCCCAGCACAGCAGGTTCCAGTTCCAGCTCCAGCTCCAGCGCTCAACAGGCCCGCTTCTAGCGTGTTTTAGCGCCTTGACAGGGCTCCCGAGGCTCCAGAGCGCTGAAAAGGCGCTGCCTGTGGCTGGTCTCGACGCTGCTGTGGCTGGTGCGCCGGACGGGCCAGGTACGTACCGCCGCCCTGGGAGGACTGGCCTAGGATTCAATCAGTTGGCGCCAAAAACAGCCACTAGCCACGCGGCTGAGCCATTGGCTTAGTATTGTCGCGGATTGCAAGGTGGCCTAATATTTCCTGAGCTGAACCAGGGGGGCTCTATCTAGGAAGCTGTCGTATTCTCGAGTATCCGACGCAAGCAGCAATATCCTTCCGCACAACGCCTCCTTTGCCGCATCTTCCATTTCGTGTCCCTTCTCCTGAGCCGGGCTTGGCCTTCAGGATTGGTTCTCCCTTTTTCTTCTCGTCGTCGTTGATGTTCGTCTTCGCCTTTTGAGTCTCCCCAGCTCGTCCGGTCTTTACAATTTTGTCCCGCAGCCTGCTTCAGCCGGAGCCACAGCTGGTTGCCACTCCCCTTTTCTTCCTTCGACGTGTCGTGTTCCGAAAAACCTCGCGACCCTCTCAATTGAGCCCTTTTCTCTTTGTTTCCAGTCGCCGATCCGGGGGGAGAATCAGAAAGTTGTCTCTGGAACCATGGCTGCCGACAAGGCCGCCCTCGCCTCCGGCGCTGATCTGGGGGACGGCTTGAGGCAGCGACAAGGAGCTTCGCAAGCCGTGCCCTCGTTCATCGTGGCCCAGCCGGAAGACACCAAGAAGCTGGCAAAGAAGGTATGGACATGTCCAGCGGGGAGAGCAATGGCGCTCAATTGCGCGCGCAAGAGCTGGCTAACAGCGCTTGCAGGAGAAATCTTTTGTCCAAGTGCTTGCAGACTGGGAATCCGTCCTTGCCCCGCTGATCTTCACGGCTGTTGCCATCTTCACCCGATTGTATAAGATTGGTCTCAGCGATATCGTCACTTGGGACGAGGCTCAGTATGTCCAACTACCCTTGTCTGTGCTGGAGAGATGCGAGAGAGTCGAACGAGTTTGCTGATTGCGACCCTTCCGCAGCTTCGGCAAGTTTGGAAGCTACTACATCAAGCATGAATACTACTTCGACGTCCACCCTCCGCTCGGAAAGATGCTGGTCGGCCTCTCTGGTGTCCTCGCCGGCTACAACGGATCGTTCGAGTTCAAGTCTGGCGAAAAGTATCCCGAAGACGTCAACTATACCTTCATGCGCGCCTTTAATGCCGCCTTCGGCATTGCCTGTATCCCTATGGCCTACTTCACGGCCAAGGAGCTGAAGCTGAGACGACCTGCCGTCTGGTTTGTGACCCTGATGGTTCTTTGCGAGAACTCCTACACCACCATCAGCCGCTTCATTCTCCTCGACTCCATGCTGCTCTGCGGAACGTTCGCCACCACTCTTTGCTGGGCCAAATTCCATAACCAGCGACACAACAGCTTCGAGCCCGAGTGGTTCTTCTGGCTCTTCATGACGGGCCTCAGCATTGGATGCGTTTGCAGTGTCAAGCTCGTTGGTCTTTTCGTTACTGCTCTGGTTGGCCTGTACACAATTGAGGATCTTTGGAGGAAGTATGGTGACCGGAAGATGCCTATTGTGAGTGCTTTTCTGTGACATGTCTGTACTGCCGTTCGCTTACACCTTGACCAGCCTGTCCTTGCCGCCCACTTCTCGGCACGTGTCGTGGGACTCATCATCGTCCCCTTCCTCATCTACATGCTCTCCTTCGCCCTGCACTTTGCCATTCTCGACCACTCCGGCCCCGGCGATGCCCAGATGAGCTCCCTCTTTCAGGCCAACCTGAAGGGAACCGAGGTCGGCAAGAACAGCCCCCTGGAGATTGCCCTTGGCTCTCGCGCCACTATCAAGAACATGGGCTATGGCGGCGGTCTTCTTCACTCTCACGTCCAGACCTATCCTGAGGGCTCCGGCCAGCAGCAAGTCACCTGCTACCACCACAAGGATGCCAACAACGACTGGTTTTTCTACCCCAACCGCTTCGAGCCCGACTATGATCCGGAGGGCCCCCTCCGATTCATTGGTGACGGGTCCGTTATCCGTCTGATTCACGCCCAGACCGGCCGCAACTTGCACTCTCACGACATCGACGCCCCCATCACTAAGTCCCACCGCGAAGTATCAAGCTATGGCAACCTCACCGTTGGAGACGACAAGGACCACTGGAAGATCGAAGTCGTCCGAGACGCCGCATCCCGTGATCGCAGCCGAATCCGCACCCTTACCACTGCCTTCCGCCTGAAGCACACCGTCCTGGGCTGCTACCTGCGAGCTGGAAACGTCAACCTTCCTCAGTGGGGTTTCAAGCAGATTGAGGTCACTTGCGACAAGCAGAACAACCCCCGCGACACATACACGCACTGGAACGTCGAGGCTCATTGGAACGAGAGGCGTGAGTGAAACTGATTCCACCCCTTTCGCAACATACAGGCTGACTCTCTTGATCTTCTAGTCCCCCCTAGCGACCCCGGCGTCTACAAGTCGCCCTTCATCCACGACTTCATCCACCTCAACGTCGCCATGATGACCTCGAACAACGCCCTGGTTCCGGATCCCGACAAGCAGGATGATCTGGCCTCCCAGTGGTGGCAGTGGCCCATCCTGCACGTCGGCCTTCGCATGTGCTCATGGGACGACAACATTGTCAAGTACTTCCTCCTTGGCAACCCCTTTGTCTACTGGGCCTCCACTGCGTCTCTGGGAGCCGTAGCACTCGTCATCGCATGGTATGTCGTGCGGTGGCAGCGCGGATTCAGGGAGCTCAACAACTCCGAGGTTGACCAGATCCATTACGCCGGCATCTACCCCGTCATTGGCTGGTTCCTGCACTACCTCCCCTTTGTCATCATGGCGCGTGTCACGTACGTGCACCACTACTATCCGGCGCTGTACTTTGCCATCCTCTCCCTGGGCTTCCTGGTCGACTGGGTTCTGAGGAACCGCGCCGCTGTTGTGCAGGGTGTCGCCTACGGCATCTTGTACAGCGTCGTCATTGGACTTTACATCCTGTTCATGCCCATCTGCTGGGGCATGACTGGAAGCAGCAAGCAGTATTCGTACCTGAAGTGGTTTGACAACTGGCGTATCAGCGATTAAACTCGGCCTTTCCTTTCGAGTTATTTCAGCTCGCCTACTTTCAACACGCCGGTGGTGGAACACGTTGTTCAGCTCGTGTTCTTGATCATAGGGCCCCTTTTATCATGCTGTATTATGGCGGTAGATGGGAGAGAGGAAGAAGACGAGTGGAGGCTAGCTGGCTTTATCTGTTCAAAGGAAAGAAAAGCAGACATTGTAAGATTTTTCATTTAGTTATTTAAAGGCGTGGGACGTGTATGGGAGATTTTTTTCACATTAATGAAAGAAAAAAAGACCATGGGCTAGGTAGGTAGGATGGAATTTCGCAAGTTATATAAAATCAGATGATGACGGGGAAAAAGGGTTGGCGGAACACTCTATACAAAGCCGCATTTACTTGTACTGCAAGGCATTATCTCTCGCCATTTCTCGCCTGAGAACGTGATTTGAAACGTGATTTGAAACGTTGCGTATGCCTGTTGTGTTCTTTTTTTGCGTCTGCTACTCATATGATTATGCTTGGTGTGGAAATTTCATTCAGGGGTTTCTTCCAAAAAGACCTGAGTATCGTGTAAGTGATGAAGCCCATCGGGTATCATGTCTTTGCCAACCTTTCTTTCCTCCTCATTCTCCCTTGCGACAAGCATGGGCTCCTGCTTATACGATGTCGCATTACACAGAATTAGATAAGAAAAGGGGGGGAGAATATCTGTAAATCTTGGCCCACCTCAACAACATCCGCCACTTGATTTATTCGCATCGGCGTTTAACCTCACCTGCCGGCTCCCACCAGCACTGGGCCCCTTGACGCCCGATCTCCTGTCATTCAAGTTATACTTTCCGGCCTCGATGTTTTGGTATATCCTCTCGGCGACTCTCATAAAGGCCTTCTCGACGTTCTCGCCGCTCTTGGCGCTCGTCTCGACGTACTCGAGGATGCCGTTGCGCCGGGCCCACTCCTCGGCCTCCTCGCGCGTGACCTCGCGCTTGTTGTCCTCCTGCTGCGTCAGGTCGGCCTTGTTGCCGACGAGCACGATGACGATGTCGGGCTCGGCGATCTGGCGCAGGTCGTTGAGCCAGTCGGTGACGTGCTGGAAGGTGGCCTTGCGGCTGAGGTCGAAGACGAGCAGGGCGCCGCTGGCGCCGCGGAAGTAGGACCGCGTGACGGACTTGTACGTCTCCTGGCCGGCGGTGTCCCACAGGCTGAGCTTCATATGCTTCTGGGGGATGCCGCTGGTGTCGCGCCGGGGCTCTGGGAGGCCCTCGGGCTTTTGTTCGTCGTCGTCGGGGGAGTTGTTGTTGGTGGAAGACGGAGGGGGAGCGGCGGGCGTGTGAGGAGGGC